TTTCCTTTGCTAACGAAGATTCGTGATTTACATGATCTTTGTTCGCGATTTTATTTGTCTAGTCTAGGTTAAGCGCCAGAAAAAAATGCAGCGACATGAAATCATTATTTTTCGTTGACAAAGAGCTTCGATTAAGTTGTATCATCTTGCGAAAGGAACGTGATTTATTTTTTGTTATCTATTAATTTAGTCGATTTATAATCAAAGTAGAAATTTCATTAAAAAAAAAAAAAAAAATAAGCTACACGTGGAAAAATATAAAAATGAAAGACGCCAAGATTAACATCGATACAAAGAAATTCTTGAATCGTTAATTCCGACGTACCTCGGGCGTACATAAAATTGACATTCACCTTCGCAGGAACCGTCAATTTCACGACGATTTGCACCCGCGGGAATTCGTGCAACGAGTGACCGTTCACGAAAAAGCTCGAATAAAAAGGTTCTCTCGGTTTCAGGAGAAAGAGTAGAAGAGGAAGAAGACGAAGACGAAGAAGAAGAAGTAGAAGAAAAAGAAGAAGAAGAAGGAGAAGGAGAAGAAGACAGGCCTCGATGGCCGCGGCACGTCGCGTGACGGAAGAAGCCACGATCACAGGCACACGCACGCGCGTATTTGCATCTTATCCGCGTCTATTATGTTCACGATGAAAATCGAAAATTCTTACAAAGCCTAATACCTTTCGTAACGCGATAAATGCGCGTGAAAATGAGCAATCGGAATAATGTACTTCGACAGGGACTATCTTTGAGGCTCATCTAGCTCTGGATAAACTCTAAGCATTTCATAGTAAATTCTTTTAAGCATTCAGTGTAAATTGATAAATGACAAATGTTCTAAACTGAAGATACACGTCTACACACACACACACACACACACACACACACACACACACATATATTGCGATTAGCATAGAGAGAGTCCGAGTTGCGTTTATCAGTTGCGAATCGATATTTGTCCCATGTAAATGGTCGGTTGTGACGATTTTCGTGAATCGAGTCGACAGTGCATACTACACAAGTATGGTAACAGCATCTGAGGATGTAGCAATTACGTCTGGACTCTTTGCCACAGATGGACGGGACCGCAACCATGGAACGCCCCTTGCGTTACACACATGTTACAAGTTTCCTTCTGTCCCTCTTCCCTTTCCTCCTTGCTCCTCTCCCCTCCTCTTGCTGTTCATTCCTTCCTGACCGAATTAATGTTCGTACGGTCAGCACGAAAGACGCTCCTGTGGGAACAGAGACACAAGGCTTTGTCGACGTCCATCTCGGTCGACGGACGCCTTCGTCAACGATTACGGGAGAACCCGTAAAGAGACGAAGGACCGTCATATACGAGGACGAGGATCAACTTGGAGAACGCACTAGGGTTAATGAAAACCAGCTAAATGACGAACGAGATAAACTAGTGAATATCTGCTTGGTACTTGCTTCTATGGGAAAATTTAACGCTGCTACGATCCTCTGTTGAATTGGAACATTTGTTGTTCCAATCTTTCGACGTTCTAAGAAAAATTTTGACATGAAATTGAATCAGAAATCATGCGTATCAGTTTGACGATAAATCGTCCAAACAATATAAAAGAATTAAAGATATAAGAATGCAAAGAACGTGCTATATAAAAAATATGCGTAAGTAGATGTGTTTCTTATTTCTTTAAAAGAAACCAGTGAATTTATGCCAACCGGAATCACGAGATTGCTTCCAAGTAGAGATTTGCAAATTCGGCCGATTGAAAATTTTCGAAACGAACGCAAATTACACGATCGAGTCGTTTATAAGCTGATGCTATACATTCGTTATATTAAAATTGAAGAATTCGTTCCAGTTTCACGACCAATCGTGTATAGTAGGATCACTGGATAACGGTGACCCTGAAGACAGCAAGTAACCCCATAGCCGTGAACTTTCTTTTCTCGTATACCGTTGACAATGGGGAGCCACGACCGTCTCGCGATGTTCTGCACGCGATGACCTGGGTATTTCCTGAGGACACTTGAAGAGGAAATGTCCTAACGGGAGCGTAGCCCCACTTTCTGTTCCGAGACTTCACCCTTTGTTCCATGAACCTACGTCGTCCACTCTAGCCAGGCCTAAATCGGAGTAAAGACACGCGAGAAGGAAAATCAGCGTAAAAAGACAGACAACCAAGTCGCAGAAACGATCGCTCAAATCACTGGTTATCAACGGCAGTTTGCCAACTAATCCACACGGTATTAAGCGTAAGTTGGTTACCTCTCGTTCAGGATTCAGGACACTCGAGCTCTAATACACCCCAGGGGTCGTGAAAGGGATGAGGCGGCGAGTCACGTGTATTCTGTCCGGCATGGTCGCGAGATTACAGGCCAGCTCGAGGCTAACTGCGATGTAAATCAATCTGCCACAGAACTTCCCCGAGGGTCTGGTCTAAACTGTTCGCTCTACGGTGAAAAGTGAATGGCAATCGTATGAGGTGTCGGATGTTCGAAACTATACTTTCTTATTGCTCTCGTGCGTCAGCCGAGAGTACGACGGTTTCGAACGTAGGGAAGAAACAGCAAGAAGAAAACACATGGAAGATGAGTGGCGAAACTGTTGGTTGTGCATCAACTAGAAAAGGACCAGCGACAAAATCGTGCCGGCTGTATTTATTGAAAATTACTCCTCGCGTGCGAGCTCCGCGAAAATGAGAAGGACGAAGGTAAAGAGATACAGTCGACCAATCGTCCCAAAATCGCAATTATACTAACCAAATGGCGCTTACTTTAATAAGTTCGAATACTAAAGTGCAATATCATCACATCCTGACTGTTTGATTTTGAATCTTAACCCTAGGCGATAAACGAACATCGGCTAGATCGCATGAAACTATTTTCACGCTGAAGTTTCGAATTACAAATCATTCTTACAGAAAATAATAGCAATGCCCAGCAGAAATTGCAATTCAGAGAAGCAAACGATGAAAGAAGATGAATGAAAACATGAAACACGGTCATTTACGTCGTGACCCATTCAATTTTCTGGACTTCAATTCGAACGATGGTCAGTGCGTTTCGTCATATGCCCTCAAGTCCCATGCTCTCTAGAGTAGAAAGAGAAATACAATCAGAAACCATCGAGGGTGGTTTTCGTTTCTACGTTTCCTTAATTAACAACATTTATACAGTGGCCGCGTTTGTTACGTTAGTCGTTTCAAAGGGACGATTTCTCTGGGACGAGCAAACAAAACTGTACGCGAAACTTCGTTATATATTCCTAATTACTAGACCCAGAGTTTACTCCAAGGTGAAATATTAAACAATTGTAAACAAACGTAAGAAATTATATAGAAACTACCGTTTCAACTTGTGAATATTTGCAAATATTACAATTCACGAATATATGAATATTTGCAACTTACAAATTCGCGAAACGAAATTATCGCTTTAGGCGATCGCGTCTCCCAGGAAGGCCATCGGCATATGCGGCTCGCGTGCATCGATGCAACCGTAGGTTCGCAGTAACAGGTGCAGATGCAGAGGAAGCAATCGTTAGCTCGACAGCCCGCAGTGCATGTGCGCCTATTATGATTTCTTTCATAATTAGTTTCCCTTCTCTCGTTCCTCACGTTCCTCATACAAGTATTCAGATGCATCTATTTATTTATGTATTTCGTTGTACATATGCATTGTTTAGAAAAATGCATCCTTTGTCATTCACATTCTCTACACATTTGGACAATAATGACAATAATGACGACCTTGATCTTGTATTAAATATTCTATTACAATATGCATTCTGACATAATGTCACATCGATACCTATTAAATATATAAACTACTTTCTATATTGTAATTTTGAATACAGCATATACGAAAATTCCTTTCTGTATCCGATAGGCTAACTGCATTTTTCAATCATTATTGTCGTTCCAATTGGGCATGGATTTAGTACGAGGAAGCACGATGTATTATTGAAGACAATTAATATAATCTACAACATAGTAACTGTGTACGAAATCCTAAATTTATCAGTATTCTATGACAAATCGGAAAATTTATTTAAATATATTTTGTAATGAAAATAACTGGATGTTTAACATATTGTGTTTATCTATTGAAAAATACCTGGTCAATATTCACCAAAAAAAAGGTTAACGTTCAAGTTATAGGATAAATCCATGATTTCGAGGTACATATCCAAGAAAGCGTCTTGCCGAGGGATTTCGCCGAGGGTTGGCTGTTTGCGCCTCTCGACAAATAAGGGGAAGTCGTTATCCTCTGGATGGAAGGAGTAATTAACTGCTTCTACCTCCTTTCTGTTCACCTCATCTCTCAGCCAGTATCCTTCCTTTCCGGCTTCGGCTTCTACTCGAAGGAGCAGACTTAAGGAGACCCGCTTAGGCTTTCACGCGGACGTGTCTTCATTATTCACGCTAATCTGCCTTTGCCTCGTACTTCTACTGCCTCGATCTTGCCCTCTAGCTCTTCAAGACAGAATTCTCTCAGTTGGCTGACAATTTAATGAAAATTATAAATACTAATCAAATTGACTGCAATGCAGAGAACATTTTCACGCTCATTAAACTTCGATACCTTCTTCGTATTTTAACAAATTAAATCAAATTAATAGAAAAAGTATAAAATTGAAAATTATGCATGAATATTTTGCTATTTAATTCTATGAAGTAGAAATTGAAAATTATTAAGGTATATTTTCAATTTTCTTCAGCATCGATGATAGAAATCCCAAGTGCCAAATTGTGATGAATTGTTTTCTCTGTCAATGCCGACAAATACTGGACCAAAGAACCCCTGACTGATAATCTTTCATCAATCTCTGGTCGTTGATTGGAAGTCATAATTCATTAGTGATTCAAATAAATAAATAGCTATGATGAAATTTAATATCTTTTCCATATTTGATATTTTTCATAATAAAAAAATTAGAATTTCAAAATATCAATACTAAAAACAAAGATCAAATTTGCATACAAGTGGAAATCAAATAAAGTGCGAATAAAATTTCTGAAAATATGTACTCTGAAAAATAAAATTTGAATTGATACATAAGTCTTTTACAGGGTATTTACTAATTTACAACTATTCACAAATATACTATATATATATATATCTAACAGATACGTTCAGTTCTCCCAAATCTTTATAGCACGAAATATACTAAAAGTTATATGATTCCTGTAAAAATACGATTTTCATTACTTGACGATGAAATAAATATATCTCTATCATTGTTTGTTAACTTTCATAAATGCTCACATTGAGATAGAAAGCCAATTATTGACAACTCAATAAACCTGAAAAAAAATAGCCTCACAAATATTAAAAAATTTCAATCCAAGGATATTAGATATAGTATTTTTAAATTTAACATTGGGATATTGAAAACACACGCTTTCCTGTTCTGTAAAACAAACTGACCTATAGTTAGAAACAACAAATGCTTTCAGTTTGTCAAATAATCATTATGTAACTGAAAAAAAATAGATGTATAGAATTACAAGCTTTAGAAACTAAAATTCTCAAAAAATTGTTTCCATTTATCTGTGTAGGAACATGCATTCCCGTTATACATATTAGAAACTCTCTATACCATTGATGCATTAAATTCATACATTCCAATACAAATGCACAACTTATATATGTAATTTTTATTCGAGTTTATGTTTTCACTGTGGTAAGTTTAATAAGACATTTTGACCTTGTGGCAAATAAGCCACTTGACGAGATCTAGACAGATTATGGGCTATATCTTCTGCAGCTTCAATTCTTCTTAGTTCAACTAAACCATCGCCTGCCTCACCAAGAGATTTTGCAATCAAACTAGCAGCTTGAGCGTCACCTTCTGCACTAATTATAGCAGCCTTCTTATGTTGTTCCGCCTTTTCTACTAAGAAACGAGCTTTTTCTGCTTCTTGCTGTGCTACTTGCTTCATTTCTACAGCCTGAGTAAATTCTTTTCCAAACGTTAAATGTGTCTGAAATAAAACAGATTACAAATTGAAGCAGACATACATACGTTAAAAAAGAAAAAAATAATCGTAATATACTTACAATGGAAATATCATCTAAAATTAATCCAAACTGCGTAGCTCTTTCTGTTAAATCTTCTCTAACTTTTTGAGAAACAATCTCTCTTTGCGTGATTAATTCTCCGGCATCAAATTGAGCAACTACTGCTTTTAATACTTCATTCGTAATAGACGGCAATACTCTCTCAGCATAATCTATACCAAGAACAGTATAGATTTTTGGCAAAGAGTCTGGTATAGGTCTGAAGAGAATACGTAGAGTGATGTTTACATTTTGCAAATCTTTACTTCCAGTAACTACAGGAATATTTCTTGGCATTGATCGAATATCGAATATGATAGGTTTCTGAACCCAAGGAATTATGAAATGTGTTCCTTCCCCAACAACCTGATTTTTTATTCCAGTAAATCTATCAAAAATAACAGCTCTATGACCACCATCAACTGAAACAGACAAAGAATTTAAACTCAACTAAATTTATATTTCTTCATCAAACATCACTGCGTAAAAGGAAGACACTAACCATTGTATAAAGCATTATTAACAAGAAGACCAGTCGCAGTCAAACCAAGGCCAAATTGCCCTAATCGATTCCAGAACATTGCTGCCATATTTAATGACATATCTGAAAAAAAAATAAAAAATCAATTCTAGAAAACAGATTGAATTCTGATGCAACACTACCTAATATATATATATAGATATGGTTAAACAACTTTAACCTAAAATTTTACAAGATCAAAATATGAATTCACTCTAACAACATTAGTAAATATCTTAAGTTTCATAAAATTGTAAAATTTAATCATACCAAAGGAACATAAATACATAACATCAATAAAATACTTAAAAGTGCCATAAAAGATCGACTACACGCGGTCTTGCTTGACCCAACGTATAATTAACCATATGTACAATTAATAATGACAACATTGTTGCCTCAACAAATGAGTAATATTTCTGATATTAACATAGTTAATTTTCACATAATAAATATTGTCTTTTAAGTAAAAACTTACGTTTTCTCTTGTGTTGCGTGTAAGTGTCGCCGAAAGGAAGATGGAGTCCACAATTTCAAGCAAGTCGATAGTAGCGCCACTTACTAATAGGTTACTGGAGGTAAATTTAAAACAACACTGTTAGTATTGCGATTTAATTCATCCTCCGTGAATTAAAATTCTAAAGTTATTAATAAAATATTAAAAAACGTATTAGCTCAAATAAATCTTATGGAGCGTTCGATATATGAGATTAAAGAGAAGAAGAAAGAACAACCTCATTTGCAAATATAATCATACATAACTGCGGAAAAAATAATTAATCCTAGACTTTCTAAAATATTTTTGTACGAAAAATATATAAATTCAGAGGAAATAGTTTCCATATCAATTAATTATCCATATGTCAAAACTACATATTATCTATTTCTCATTAATCTAATAATAACGATATACAAACTACTGAGACAAATATCTAATCGAAATCACAGCCAATCAGCTCGTATTAATTGCTATATAATTAATAATTGTATCAATTATATAATTAATTGTTTAGCTATATAATAATACAATTAGTAATTATATATCAAGTAATACCGATTGCCCAGGTCTCACCACGTGGAGGTGCTGCGAGTGGAGACCCACCCTATCCGCGGCCCATCCACCCTCCTTTAGCGAACAAAACTTTACTAATTTAAAACATGAATCTATAAACAAATAGTTCTTCTACTGTACATTTACAGAACGTTCAATATCTTGATCGTTGTGCAAACCGGACAATAAAAGAAACTGTAAGGAAAACCGACGCGAGAGCTAAATTTCTATGAAAATAGAAGTTATATTAAAGCCTAAACTAACTACATAACTCTATATAAGACACAGCTTCGTCTATGTAACAGTAATTGAAAAGTTCAAACAAATATGAGTCTCATATAGAATTTTACTTATCCCACTTAAATTAATATTAACTAGCCTTCACCACACATGCACTTAGATACTAATATATCTTACATTACTAAAATTACCATGCTTAAGCTTAAATCTAATAACTAAGAAAACTAACTTAAAACTACAACACAACACAAAGCCATAATACAATACAACACAACACCCAATTAAAAACTATCTATCTAATTAAATTTAATTTAGTCTAAATTGGTCTAGCATTTCTCCAAAAAATCTATATAAATACATAAATATAATTAAAAAGAAATGAAGTGAATATCATATGAAGTGAATATCTTCTCCCGATGATTTTTCAATCTGTTGTATTATATGAAATCTTCTCCTGTTGATCTTCCATAATCTGTACCTAAAATAAATCTAAGAAACTGGGAAAGATTAGTAAAATATCACTTGTTATTGGATGAAACATCATTTTATTATAATAATTTTTTCCTCTTAAGTCACTTCCTTTAATTTATATTCCATTTTTCTCAATTTTCAGTGTACATATCTCTGTATATTTTCTATAACTTATACTTTCTGCAAATTAATAAATCTGAAACAAACTTATATATTGGATTAGTATTATAATTTAAATAAAAAGATAATTTAAATAAAAAGATCTGCAATGAAAACGTATTATACATACAAAAAAAAAATCAGTTGTCGTCAAGATATTACTTCATAATTATACTTTATTAATTGAATTAAATTATTTTGTTGACTCGAAATTATGAAATGAATTTTCTTGAAAACAAGAATCTCTAGTAATTGGATTTGAATTTAAACTGAATAAGTCAAAAATTTAAAATACTTCTGATACAAACATGAAAGATGAGTGGTTTAAAATCACATTTCGTTATATTAAACAAAAAATAAAAAGAAACATGCAAAATACGTTCATTGCAAGATTTTTATTAAACAACGATCACACATAAACTTTGATTTATGCATACTACATTTAAATATTTTTAAAATTCTACTTTATAATTAAAATATTTAGAATAGAGAAAAGAAGAATTCGAGAAAAATAACTCTGCTAACGAGCAATCATTATTATTAATAACAATAAATTGGATACTAATTCATATTTCAAAATAAGCTAATACTATGATTTAATTATTTTATAAGAAGAATTTCAAATTCTCCTTATAATATTTCAATATTTTGTTGCGAGAATTTTCTCACTTCATTTTATACATATATGACAAGTGAAATCACTTACACTTTCATACATTAAATTTATAATATACCGAATAGAAAAATATATATTTTTTAGCAGTATTTTCAGTAACAAACGCAGAATATAGTAAGGGGTGCTGAAAAAGAAAACCTAACACAGTAACCAGAAGGGCTACAGAAGATCTAAGGGCTAAAGAAAATCTAAGATAGTAGCCAGAAGGGTTACTGAAAAAGAAACCACAATACAGTAGCCAGAAGGGCCACTGGAAAAAAACCGCGATACAGTAGCCAGAAGGACTACTAAAAAACAAGCATATCCTACTCAATAACCAGAAGGATTATTGAACAATTATCTACAACATAAACCCGAGCAACAAACCGTATCTTGTTTCGCAACACTAATTCACTAGCTTTGACTATGAAACAGGAAATTTTCAAAATCAAACGCGAAGAGTGCTTCGTCATATTCAAAACTCCCGAAAGTAAGTACACAACGCTATTAATCTATGCACTCATCTTTAGAAATACGCAACACTAATTGCGACGCGTCCAGTGCAACCATGCTAGAAGTTGCTGATGGATGACCACCTCTTTACAGCTTTTGTAGCTGCATTAGGTGATTCAGGAGCAGGAACATCTTTCCACGAATTCAGTGGAAGAATTTGGGCATTTTATAAACGCAAGAAACTACTTCAAGAAACGCGATCATTCATTATCGTAACACTAAGAAAAAATGTAATTGAAACCGCGATGAAACAATATCGCAACACTAAGAGCTAAAGTAATTGGAAATCGCGATGGAACAACGTCGCAACACTAATTCTAAAACTATGTCTATTCAATGAAAATTATTATCAAGAATACAAAAGCTACTATAACAAAAAACTAATATTCAAATATTCTAACATTCTAAAATTAATTAAAAGCAATGACTCTATAATCTAATTTAAAACAATAGAAAACAAGACAAATTTTACTATAAAACTCTAGGATAACTTTAAAAATTCACAATCAAAATTGCAAAAGACAATCGCGGTACCATAACTCTAAAGCAATCACGATTATCATTTCGCATCTCTAATTTAAACCGTAATCAATCTCTCGCAACACTAACAAAAAAATCCGCGATTTGCCCAAAACGATGATAACCGGTGATGAAGAAGAAAAAAATATAACTACAAATACTAAAAGAGCATAGTGACAAAGTAGTAACGAGAATGACTTCCTATGCTCTGGAATCATTTAAATGATCCAAAGGATAAGAAGCCATTTGTTGCGACCCTCTTCGTGGCAGTTTGCCGGGCCTCTTCGGCTTCTAGCCTTTTCTTTCTTCGAGCGCAATGCCCGCTGAAACTTACTCTCTAGCTCGAGTCTTTCTAATCGCAAACCAAAAAATAACTTATAAAGGTGAAATAAAAAGATAAGTCGCGGAAGCTGAGTCAATTGCACATGGACAACCATCGATCATAGTAATCGGTGTCCGTTCTCATGTGCGTGCTCGAGCAATACCTACATAAACGTTCGTTTCGGGACCTACTCGCGACCTATCCACGACCGCGACCGCGATACTAAATTCGAAAAATCGAAGAGTAAAACCAGAAACAAATGGCATGTTCAATTTGCACCAATTTCACTGTCGATTTTTCAAATTAGATTTCCTGAAACAGGTTGGACACGCGAAAAGGGGACACGCGACCAGAGACTG